CACACACACACACACACACACACACACACACACACACACACACACACACACACACACACAGGTTAGTCCACTTCGAAACTCATCTGAGGCATCAAGCATGAAGTCACAAACTGATTCCTGCAGAGAGTTTTCACCTAAAACTGGATTTTTACTTCAGATTTGAAAACAAAAAAATAAATAAATAGAACAGAATAACATCAGAATTATTAAGACGTTAARAAAGAGGAGGGCTTCTAGTTTCAAACTATTTAGATTGAACTCTACGGCTGTTTGTAATCTACTCCAGATTAGCCATTAGCTCGTCAGTCCAGTCATAAATTAACTGTTTCTCCAAACTGGACTCATCTACAACAGGTAAGATAATAACTCTTCATAAACACAAATCAAGAGATTCAAAAYGAGTCATTTAAATGTTAAAAGTTTCAAACTTTCTCTGACAGTTTGGAGTCTCCCATAAAGCCTAAAGCTGCGCACCTTTAGAGGAAAATCAAACTATAAATGTTTGAACCCAGAAGCTGAAAAAGCTGCCTTTCAGGCTTTTAACCGGTGTTTTTATCGTAGCTCAATTACACTGAGTGCACAGACAGAACGCCGCCTAAAAATAACCCCGAATGAGGGAAGAAAGGAACCGAGAAGTGCCGTTTGCAGACAGCTTGAGTACTTTGAGAGTGGAGAGGCCGGGACGCTTTCTGGTCCTCTGCTTGGTGGGGTCACACAGAGCCTGCTGGCTGGTCATCTGACTGATGTCCTCCATCCTCAGAGTCTACCTGCTGCACTCGCTCTGTGGAAAACAAAAAGAATCAGACTTTAACAACATGTTGCCTTAAACYGTCATTAATTCAAAATAACAAACCTTGTTTCTATTACACGTTATTTCTCTCCCCATATGATGGTTTTAGTCTGAAATTTTATTGTTTCTATTAAAGTTTTGTTAGTTTTAAACTCTTTTTAAAAAGCTCACACAAACTGCCCTGGCTCAAAGCTTCATCTGTTTCAGATTTGTTGATCTGTGAGCTGAAGTGAGCTCAGGCAATCCATAAAACCCTCTCAGGTGAGTCCGGGTCAGGTGACGCCTGTCTCAGTACCGTTCTGGGAGAAAAACTCTGAACTGATTTGTCACTCAGACAGGCTGCGAGGTGGAAACCTGACAGAAAATTAATATTCTTTTTTCACCTCCAAGTCTCGTGGAACCTATTCAAGTTTAGGACTGCTAACACAAAGCTAACACTCAGCTACTATCAAGCTAACACAGAGCTAACACTCAGCTACTATCAAGCTAACACAGAGCTAACACTCAGCTACTATCAAGCTAACACAGAGCTAAAATCACACTAACACAGAGTTAAAATCAAGCTAACACAGAGCTAACACTCAGCTACTATCAAGCTAACACAGAGCTAACACTCAGCTACTATCAAACTAACAAATAGCTAAAACCCAGCTAACAGTGAGCTAACATCAAGCTAACATAGAGCTAAAATCAAGCTAACAGAGCTGACATCAAGCTAACACACATTTGTTACAATTTAAGAAAAAGACATTTTCTGTCAACTATGCAGTGACTAAACTGTAAAAGTTAAAATAAGCAAAGCCGAAGCTACAATCAGCAAAACAATAGCTAAAAGCTAAATTTAGCAAACCCATGGTTAAACGCTAAAATAAACAAAAACATAAATAAAAGGTAAAATTAACAAGCAGCTAAAAGTTTAAGTTTTGAAGAGTAAGGAAACTTTCAAAGTTAAAGTTGGTAAAACAATAAATTAAATTAAAAAATAGGAAAACAAACTAAATGCTAAATAAGGCAAAGCATGGACAACACAGAAAAAAATATTTAGCTAAATTAGCTAAAGAACTGTATATCTGCGTTAAAAAATAAAATTTGTGCCTTAGTAACAAAATAGTTGTGACTAAAATGAAAATGAAAAGAAAAACTATAAAGGCTAAAATGAGCAAAATAAACTAAACAGCATGCAATAGTTAAAAGTAGCAAAACAGCTGATGGAAACTAAATGTTATTTAAAAGTTTCATGTGAAAGTGTGGCTAAAATTACCAAACCAGTAGGCTAAAGCTAAATGCAGGTAAAATATACAGTATAATGTGAAAACTCATAGCTAAAAACTAAAATAAGCAAAACAATTGCTAAAAAGCCACACTTTCAAAGCGTTTCTAAAGCACAATGTAGCTAAATAAATAAATAAAAAATGACTAAAAGCTAAAATAAGCAAACATTTGAAAGGAACATCAAAAAGGGCCAAAAACAAGCAAAAATGTTATCAAGTGTCTTTCAGATATTTTTGAAGGAAGTAAGATTTCTGTTTCTCTATGAAGCAAAGTCTTATCAACACTGTTAAATAACCAAAAACCTATAAAGATCATAAAAACTAGCACACTTGTCTACATCATATCAGACATTTTGATATACGAATAGTTAAACAAGCACAAACTACACTTTTGTTTGATTAAAAAAAACGTACAGAACAAACTCTAAAGAGGAAAAACTACTGATTGTTTAATTTGCTGAACCTGAAGTGCATCTGCTCCTCGAGTTTTCCCAACTGAGCCGAGACGAGTTCTCCTGGGTCCGGAGGGACAAAAGGCCTCACACATTTTTATTCCACACACACACACACGTCAGGAGAACAGCAACAAGAGGAGGCCGGCACGGATTAGGAACTTCAAATCATTTCTTTACTCTGGTGAAATAAAAAGAAACAGATCTGAACCAACAGGAGATACATTAACTGAGCCCATAAATATCTGAAAGGTGGACCTGAGCCAAACTGTAAGTCACACAAGTAGCTTTGTTCCCCCACATTCCAAGGATTAATATTTCAAGATTTACTTTCCTTCAGCTAAACGGGAGGTGTTCACCACTTTGTCACACAAAAAACTAATTCTGATTTTACGGCAAGCTCAAAATTTCCCCTTATCTTCTGTGAGCATATCAAGTGTAAAGAAGGGGGCTCATTATTCAGTTTCATTTGTTTTTGAGAAAAAAACCTGAGGCACAGCTCGTTTTAAAGGGGCATGTGCTGGTAAATAGCACCACCTGCTGGTCAAAAGCGATAACATTTAAACTTTACAATAAAAACAGCCACAAAAAGGTGACTTTATGTCCTCACAACGGTTAGCGTTCACTTAAAAAAASTGCAAAACAAGTCACGAGCCAATGGACAGGTTTTAATGAAGCTCTCAAAGAAATAGAACTACAATCAATTTTAGGAGTGGATTCAAGATGGCTACTGCACTTAGTTTACCTTAACCAATGTAAAAATGACCATATGTTTGTTATTTTTACAGATATTGAGCTAAAATTTGGTGTAGTAGTAGCCTAGAGTCAGTCACAAAACATACTCCAAGAAAGCTTCATCAATTAACATAAACCAAATAATTTCCCTCGCCAGAATGTCACGAATTCATCTATTTGAAAGAAATCAGGAAGTCATTATTAGGAAAAGACATGCTACGCAACAAAGCATGACTGAAGTTCAGATGTTTCTGGTCCAATAGAAGAGAAGGGGAGTGCTATTTGTGAAKAAGAAAATAAACAAGAGGAGTCAAAGTTTGACCGTGCCAGGTTATATCATGACAGCCTTCACCTTTAGGCACCAACTGAAAATAAATCAATCACTCAAACACAAAGAAGCTGAGGAAACAGAAAATAACCAGGAGTTTGATTACCTGGGAAACGTCCGAGCTCATCTGTTTGACAAGAACAGGACGGGACGTCAGGACAGGGAGCTCAAAAAGTGACAGAAACACGTCATGTGAAGCGAATAAAAGGAATGTGAGATTAGAAACTCAGGGATTGTTGCAACAATGTTTACATTTTCTCCTCAGTCACTTGGAAACTTTTTGAACACCAAACAATTGTGGATCTGCACACGTTTTTTAATTGTTCAGTTAAAAAAAGGTTACTGACTGTTGCCATTTACACAGATCAACTAAAATAGTTCCATGTTTTTTTTATTTTAATCATGAGAAAAGTTTTAAAGTAAGACACCAGAGTAAGAGTAAAAACTTACCAGACACGATAATGAAAAATATGGCTTTAATGTACAATCAAGAAAATTGTTTACGTTCAGTTTATTAACATTATAATATATTAGTTTGATATTTGACAATAAAATAAATTTTAGTAAACTTGAGTATGTTGCCAACGAACTTTGGCACACAATTATGACCAAGAGGATTATGGGTATTACCTGTGACCCGTTTGGGTTTACATAAAATGTGATGTAACGAAGACACAAATAAAACAATGTCACCGTTTGACCCGGTTTCCTAAGCTCATAAAAAATGTGTGTCAGAGTTTGAGGTAATAAAAATAGAAGCAGGACTGATAATGTCACGTAAATGCAAAGTACTAAAAGTTTGAACACAGTTAATGTGAAGAAATCCAAGCGTAATATTCACAAAACAAATAATTTCCCCTCCCTCTAAAACACTAAAGATGCCTTTCTGTATATTTGAGAACCTAAAAACAAATCCAGTCAAAAATACAACCGTAGTAAGTGTTTAGCTTTAGCTAACCTGATGACCTAGCTAAAATAATAATAATAATAATATAATAAAAACACATTTTACTTCTTCATAAAATAGTTTTCTGTTTAGTTATACTAAAGTTGTGGCCTCTAAAGGATTAGGTATTGGTAAAACCAAAGGGTCGGCATTTCTTTTTTCCACCATTTTTGTGTTAGCTAAGCTAAGCTAAGCTAAGCTAAGCTAAGCTAAGCTAAGCACCATTACATTTACAATGAATATAAAGGTCACTGTACAAAGCTTTTCAAAAACTCTTTACAATATTACCAAAAATACTTATATATGTTGTTTATACACCACTAGTATCTACAAAAAGTATTTTATTTAGCTATGACTGCAAACTCGCGAGGTCCTAGCAGAAAACAAGGCACTAGCTCCGTACTTAAAGGGTTAATCCGGTCAAATTTGAAGTGACGCTCTGTCCAAAAGTGATCGATTGTTGTTGGCATGTTCGTGACGTCAATCGTGCAGATGGAGCTTGGAGAAAGAGGTAAAAAGTATTAGCCCAGGCTAGGCTAACGTTTGAACCGCCACAGTTTTGTAACCAAAAAAGACGCAAATGTATGTCGAGTACGCTGCCTTATCAGCTCTTCAAGTTAGCCCAAAGGTTTACTAAACTCCTGGCAGACTGATCACCATCAGTATACATTTAATTTTATCAACCTGGGTAAAAAAACAGACCTTTTGGTTAACCTGATTAAAGCCTTGTCCAAACTTCATGCTGTATGACAAACGTATCATCATGGCTGATCATTAGGCAGAACATCACTTCAAAGTTGACTGGACTATACATTTAATTGTACTAAATATACCATTTTAGGCAACCGTTACTTAGGTTTTGGTGTACTGGGTAAAAGTCTCCGAAAATTCTTTAAAATTTTTTAAAAACTGTTCAAAGACCTACGTATGTTTCAGATGTTGCAATTATAAATTTAACATTACTGCTATTATTTGACCTCATTTTAATCAAGTTTAAATGTTAAAGAACTTTATTTTATAAATCTTTATATTACTCTCACATCACACAGGGATTCAATAACTTAAATTTATTTGACTAAACTGACTTTCCAATAGTGACAAGTGCTGTTGCCATAATCAGGATCTTTGACCTCTAAAGACAACAAATATTTATTTTCCGACCATTAAAAAAAAAGGGAAGAGGTAAACCACTCAAAGACCAAACAGTGCTGACACTGTACCATTACCACATTTGGTCCAGTTTGGATGGAGCAGAGTAGAAAAGCTTTCATCTTTTTTTACGATAAGGTGTTAAATCGTGCTCTCCCTGGTCGTGTCGTCTTTGTTTTTGGCAATGCTGATGTTAGCGTGTCCGTTGCTCTCGCCGTTAGCCTCCAGCTCGTTTTCTTTGGCCTGACTCCTCAGAGCTAACTTCTTCTCCTTCTTGACAATTTTGACGTAGAGGATGCCCCACATCATGTTGCTAATGCAGCCTATTCCGCTTATCAATCCCACAAAAATATATCTGGAAGAGAGAAGATTTTTTTTTTTCAATTGAGGCCTTAGAGGTCTTTTTAATCTGAGGACAGCAGGGGGGTTAAGGTTTGATTTTACCATACCTAAAAGCGTTGGCGTCGTAGAGCCGACACGCCCCACGTCCTCCACATTGCTTGGTGCCCCACTTCAAACACGTCCGGTCGATTAGTGCTCCAAAATATATCGGAGGAGGGATTCCACCTGACGACACAAAGTCACAAGTGTGATGGAAAATTAACACCAATATTAAATTCATGTAATTTACCAAGGCTAATAATAGCCAGGTTATAACAAAAGTTGACAAAAACTCATACGAAACATGGTAGGCTTTTTTTGGACCATAACTGCCACTGGTAAAACACCATAACTAAAAACTTGTATTTCACGCTTTGTTCTCACCTAGACACCTTACTATCAGTGTTTGCATTCCCAAGGCCAAGGACTTCAAATCTGGTTGTATGGACCTAAAGCAAAGTGGGACAACAGTTAGTTTTGTTTTTTTGAACAAACAAAATGTGTGATTAGAAAAAAAAAGTAGTAATGTTATACCAACAAAATGTGAAAAGAAATTCAGTATCAATAGCTAATAGTGCTTAGTAACTACTCAAGAAAGTACTTGGTACGTACTCAGTATTAAGTACTCAGAACATACAATTATTAGTACCAGGAACATAATCCATAGG